ATTAATCCGAGAACAATAAAACAGCCTTTCCAATGTAGAAGTTATCTAACTTTAGAAGTTATCTAACACCCACAACTTCTCCGATTTCCCCGTATGATTTCACATTCCAAAAAGCTCCTTAGTTTGCTTCAGTAAATGTCCTTAACTACAAAATTGTTTACACATAAGTCTGGCTTAGGGCTTTCCTTATGCCAACTTACGTACCGCCCTCGTTTGTCGCGTCGCCTGTCCCATTTGATCGCTACCTTTGCCTGTTGACTGGCAAATTATAATGAGGCATGTTGGATGGGCCTTGGATTTGGATGGGGAGTTGAGAGAGGGAGGGGGAGGGGGAGGGGTTTCTCTGCTGCAGACAATTTGCAGCATACTACAATAGTTGCCTGGCAGCCGTCAAATCCACTCAGCGCACACTTCACGCACCAATTAAGTTCAATTTTCGATAGAATAACAAAACGCGCTCCGCACTCGCAGCCCTCAGCCCTCATCCCCTGATCCCCTCAAACTCCATCTGGGGAATTTTCCTGCCCTTGGCGGGCATGGAAATTGACATCATTTGCTGTTAAAAATGTGTCGAGGGTGCTGCGCTCACAATTACGTGAGTGGCGCATCCGATTCGATCTGGGTTCGGAATCGGAATTGGAATAGGAATCGGAATTATCCGGGAGTGAGGACTGCATCTGTTTACGGCGGAGAGCCAGCGGGCGGCATTATAAGCACATTAAATTCCGGAGGCACAGCCGGAGCATGTCTGAAATGCCGACGACTTTCGGGCGGAGGGTCGCAAGTGGGTTTTATGTGCCTGCCATATTATTGAATATCATTAGGGGCACTCGTACGCACTCCCCCCACCCTTAACCCCGTCGAACGTGAGGTCCTGTCCCGGGGTCGATATCCACGAACCGTCGAACTGAATGTCAAATCAATGCGGGGGGCGGAACTGAAAAGTCTGCGTCTGGACTCAAGGCGACTGCGTTTAGTGGTTTAATTTTTATTTTTATGGTGCAGTTTTATGGCGGCCCTTTCTTCAGAGCACACAGCATTGTCCCATATGACAAGGCCGCACTAAGCGAAATGATTGCTTTACAATGTTGAGCCAAGTCCAAAGGTCTAACAAAAGATTTTGTTGCGAATAGGAAAAGGAGAACGATTTTAGTTTTATCGGGAATACCTTAAAAAATAACCAAGTAAATTAACATTCATTAAAATACTTTTATTTACTTGAAAATTTAAATTAGTCAGCATTATTTAAAACCTTAATATGGCAAATCGAAATCCAATTAACTGGCGCTGTCTTGTATCCCCAATAATTGCTGGTGTAATGTGTAGTTTTGGATTTTTTGCATACCTGCATCTTTTGAGTTCTTTTTTAGTTTGCACATTACTTTTCATTCAAATAAATAAATATCAAGTTAATGCTGTCGAGTTTTTCCCAGTGCATGTAAAAGAGGAGCGGGTATGGTAAGAAGTTGCCTTTCAAGTGCGGCCCCGGCACAATGTGTTTTTTATGGGCTTCTGGGGCTCCGTTTTATGTTTCATCTTTTAAGTGCCCCTCGTTTGTTGCGGGTCTTAAGCAGCCTCTCCTCATTCGGCGAGTACTTTTCTGGCTTTTGTCATTAATGTGAGTTTTTCCCCGTCCCGCCCCATAATTGCTACATTTTGTGTGCTGTTTTGCCTCGACTGCGGCCATTCTGCTCGGGCTCATTAGTCGCAGCTCAACTCAACTCAGCCGAACCGAACTGAACTGAACGGAGCGGAGCGGAGCTGAAGTCTCAAGGATGCGAGATGTCTGATCGGAGCTGAATGGATTTGTGTGCGGATTTCATATTCATAAGGCACATTCATCCGCCGGACTAATTAAACTTTTGCCGCCGCTCGCTGGGAACCAGCCAACTGCTTAAATATTCCCCAGGCAGGCTCACTACACTCCATGAATGGCTAATTAGCAGTGGGGAGACAAAACCAGACTCCGGCATCGGCAAATTGCCTAATCATGATTTTTGCATAATTTTTTAAAAGCTTCTCCGTCCGCCGTCGCCGCCCGCCGACCGCAGTTGAAAGTTGAAAGGCTTTCATCCCTTGAAGGTTTCGCATCCGTCGGGAAAATCCTTTGTCCGTCCATCACTGCCGTGTGGCATTATTATTATTAATAAGAATCCCCGACTCGAGGCCGGCTAAGCCCTGCCGATCCGTAACCGAATCAGACAAGCTGCAGAATTTACAAAATTAATTTATGACACGCCGCGGCACATTTTCCATTTTCCATGCGCACACAAAACGTGCTGCGATTTTTATCTGCACCCAGGCCGCTTTTCCCCCGCTCCCCGCTCCCCTCGTACCTATTATTTTTAATCCATTAAACAAATGCCACGTTACGAGGCCGTTGCTTCGTGTCCGTTATCAGCCGGGAAATGGAAAATGGTATATGGGAAATGGGAAACGGGAAACGGGCGAAAGGGTCTTCGATTCGTCGCTAGAGCAATGGGGCTCCCAGCGAGGGTAGATCTAAACGAACGCCTCCGCCTCGGGCAATGCAATCGGAGAGTTTTCCCGCTCTTCCGACTCCCCTCACGCTGGCCTATCATGCTCGGCGTGATGGAAAGGTAGAAAACAGCCTAATGGCATTTGCAGCAATCATTAATATCAATCGCGACAGACACTCGTATCGATCCGCTTGTCCACATGTGGGATTGTCCAGATGCAGTCTACTGTGACTTCGTCTAGGGTTTCCTCATCTCACACTTGAGATAATGGAAAACCAGGTCTATTCTGTCCTTCTTACTAAGTGTTCATAGGGGGTTTGGTTCTGTGTAGGGTTTCGTCTTCTGAGAATGCCGTGCTCGGCACTTGAGAACTGATTACCGATGACGATGTAATCGCACAATGGAAAGATTTACTTACTATTCAAGAATTGTAAAGATGTTTTTTTCATAGTAGCCAGGAGCTAATGAACTGAACAACGTCTACGAAACCATTGCTTGCTGCCCTAAAAAACATTTATGATCAAAATAATCCCATTAAACCAAGAATTGCGAATGGGTAAGCTGGGTTTGTATCCATTTTATGTGTCTTTTACTTAAAGTTGTTATAAGTTCTACAGTAAAATATAATAAATAAATATAATTCTGTAAACTTATAAATGAAAAAACTTAAGATTTAAAACTAAATCCAGGCTAAGGACACAGTCTTATAGTGCTAACTAAAGTATATTATATAATAATATAGGTATTTAGCAAACTTTGTGTCATTTCGATACAAATGTGCATTCATGCAATACATGTGTGCCAGGTTGATTAGGATTTTGCATCTTACGCACCGACTAAGCCAATCTGAGTGCCTTTTGCTTGTAGGTCAGGATTACTTACCTGATTATATTCGAAAACATCCCTCGCAGTCGTCAAGGCGTGTATTAAGATGCTCTTGTTTTTTTTTAAGTTTGTGTTCATAGCGTTGGGGTCTCGAAAAATGCAGCTTGTACTCACCTTCCCCCTTTCTTCACCCCAACTAGTTTCGGTTCCCACACACAAATGCCTGGTTATCAAAGCATTTTCCTCGGATTTAAAGCTCATAACGATTCACAGCTCAGTGACCAAAGAGCTCTGAAAAGGCAGAAGCACAAAAGCCACTCTGCGGCACTTCCTTCCCTCCCTCCTCTGCTCAGATCTCCCCCTACTATATAGCATATAGCATATAGCAATAGCAGAGTGCCTCCCCCGAAGTCGCCCGACTTCCCCGGAGCGAAAAAAATCCAGGCGAACAAAGCAATTTTGTGGAATTACAAGAGCGTCTCTAATTGTTAAGTAAGCATAATGTGTGCAACATATGGCCGAGAGACTTGGCCGGACTTTGACAGGCCCCTCCCCCCTCCTTTCTCCTCCTTTCCCCCTCCTTCCCCTCCCCCTTATTCGTTCTGGGATGTGCTTGGGAAATTATGGCAGCGACAGCCTGCAGGGCACCAAAAAAAATGAAAAAAGAAAGGAACACAAATATCCAAACTGGAACGGGGGGCACAAATAAATTGGCAAAACGCTCGCAAAAAAGATCTCTGCGCTGTGTGTATATTAAAAGATATGTCAGCCATAAAAAGTGCTTACAAAAATATTTTATTGTGCATGTGGCGAGTCAACAAACTGTGCACTAGGAGTACGTCTCCGGGTCCCGAGGAAGGGCAAGTGCCGGGATGAAAGCTGTTTCCACAATGGGGCGCATTCAGATGGAGTTTTTGTGCCCTCCGCGCCAACTGGAGCTCATTAAAGCTAAATAAAAGCATTGAACTGTGCAAACTCCCAGAATCCGGACAAGGGGCCGACTTCTATCACAAGATGCAGGGCAGAACAAACAAGTGAGATTGGGATGGCTATGTCATCATCACATCCTCTGCTGCGAGATGATACTCATAACTCATTCCGAATAAATTTTGTATACATTTCAGTTTTTTGTTGAGTTCCACTGATGCAAATTAGGTAGTTCAAAAAGTTATGGCTCCTAGATGACTTGAAATTTGGATCCTCGATTTAGAATATAAGTGGATTTAAGGGGGGATAAGGTTTTGAATTCCAAAAAGTGAAAAGTGCGATTTTAGCTCAAAAATCGCTGTAAATTTATTTTTTAAAAATGAAAAAAAAAAAAAAAAACTCTTCCTGATTACCTGCGCATTTATGTGGAGAATTTGTGTTAAAAATTTGAAAGATTTACATAAATCGATTTAAAATATTTTTATACGTCAAAATACGTCCAAATTCAGTCGTTTAATACGCTGTAACTTCGTTAGTTTGACTCTAATTGACTCAATTTTTGTAAACAATATTCTCGACATATTGGTCTTTAAAATTTTTTTTTTTAAATGCAAAAGAATAATTTTTAACCCTACAACCTTCCAGGGAGTGTGCCAAAAGAATTTATGAAATTCCTCGTTTATCACGCTGTTATATAAATAAAATTGAAATATAAGTTCATTAAATGTGGGCAACATAAATATCTTTATTTATGTAATCGTAAAAATAAAATAGTAGATTTAGAGTTGGCAAGAAAATGTTTGTATTGTACTCAAAATTAGTGACCTAAATGAACTCAGGTAGCAGTAGGTTGGGTCATAACTGAAACAGATAGTTCATTAAGGCACCAGATATCCTACGGAAGTTCCTCGTAAAGCTCGCAGCTCTCGTAAATGTAGTTGTTTCTTGCCGGAAGGGGTAGAGGATAATCAGAGGACGGCGGGACGGATGGAGCCCTGTCCCTCGGTGGATAGATGTACTTAATGGACTCCGTGAAGCGGTGATTCGCTTGCTCGAGGTATCGGTGATAGGCGGTCACGTATTCATTGTTGTCTAGAGTGGAAATCGGACCCCTGCAGGAACAAATAATGATTAATAACTTTTAAGAAAGCGGTTAACATTAATTAATCTAATATTCTAGTGATCTTTAAATAATTTAATGAATATGATTATCCCATGTCAATGACTCAAGACTTACCCTACATTTTCGTACACGTCCTTCTCAAATTTTCTGGGAATCAGGACAGCCGCGTTCGACTCCCGTCGCTTTGCCCCTTTTATCAGGGAGGGCTTCAATCGCAGTGTTCCGTAAACAATAATCATCCCGAGGAGGCTGCCCACCAAAAGGAGACCCACTCCCAATCCAATGACCAGTCCACTGTGGTCCTCGAACCAGGTCGCTTTTGCCGAGACCACACACCTCATGGTCTTATGGGAACAGCAGTTAAACGAGGAAGTGAAGTTTTCCCCCAAAACTACGCAGAAATAAGTGGGCGTAATGCACTCCGATTCGCAGATCTCCACTAAAATATTGTCATTGCATTCCTCCTGATTCACAGTTCCATTTGTCAGGTTGGATGAAAACCGATTGCACACGAGTTCTTCGCAAGATTCCCTATCACAAGTCGGGGGTGGTGGACTTGTTGGCCCAATTGTTGTTTCTTCAGTGGATGGTTGCATAAATTCAGTTGTTGATGTTGTTGCAGAAGATCCCTGTAATTCTGGATCTAAGTGTTTTGCAATCTGGACAGTGGAAGCTTCCGTTTCCCTTAAATCTGATTGACGGGACATTTGAAGCCTGATCGGTAGAAAATCCCATTTGATTTCGATTAGGCCACAGCCTTCAAGAACCAGTTTCTCCAAGGCAGGAAGATTTTCAAAGTTGGTATCACTAAGTGTCCCTCCCAAGTTGGTTTCACTCAAATCTAAATATATCAATTGGGTAAAGTTTCCGGAACCCAAGAAGTCACTAATAGCATATGTTTCTGAGGAGTTCCGTTGATGTATCCTGGCGTTGATTAAGGTATAAGCCACTGAAGAAAGAAATCCAAAGGGCCTGAAAGAGTTGTTATCATTAACAAGGGTAAAGTTCTGAAGTGTTTGAAGTCCTTGTAAGGCTGCTTCTGTTAGATTTTCCAGTTCCACATTGATAAGTTGTAAGCTTAGCAAGTTGTGGGTGCTGTTTTGGTCAAAAGTTCCATCGGCTATATAAGCTATAGAGCATTTTTCGATTGTCAAGCTTTGCAGTTCACAACTTTCGAAGAAAACACTCCTTTCCAAAGTGTTGTTTTTAAATTCGGTATTAGATATAAGGAGCGATGTGTCGCAGATTTCTTGGGATATTGCGTTGATGTCAAGCGACTGGAGTTCACTTTCCTCATTGGTTACTGCCGAGGTTATTTTGTCATCGTTGTCCGAGAAATCAACGTTTACCAGGATCAGCAGAAGCGCAAAAGAAAAAACGGCCGGAAGGATGATGTATTTTAGCCATCGCATTCGACGTGGCTGATACAGCCGCTCCGGTTTCTTTGTCCTTTCCTCGTTCACCAAATCGAAGGACTTGGACTTGAACATCCTACACTATATACTATGTACTCTGTGTATAGAAGTGCTCGCACCTGCCACGCCAAAATCGAACTGATTGCTCACCTATTTGCATAATTTCATTAGGCGAATTAGTTCCGCCTATTATCTGATAATGGTTTATTCCCCGGCGATAAGATTGCCAGCCCTGCGACCACTGATGCCAACCAGATTCGGATAAGCAGAAGTTGCCTTTTTCCCAAATACAGTTTCAAATAGTTCGAATTTATCGCGATCGATAAGCTTTGATTTGATTCCAGCTTTGTTGATAAGCTAAATAAATTTTGAATTAACATGTTGTTGTTTCTCTTATGCGATCCTAAGCCGCAATGAATGATAAAAATGAATTCATAATTTAAAAGGAATCTATCTATAATTTATCCTTTGATACTTCTTAATTGTATTGTGAATGTAAATATAGTGTTAAAATTTTGAGGATTAAAATGTTATGCTTTTCAACCCGATGCATCTTATACTTTTAGTTCGATTTTTCTTTGTTTTAAATAAAAGAAACAGAAACGAATATGTTTATGTGATAAAAAAGACATCGAACATAAAAAACCTTGCTGATTTTAATTAAATGAATTATTTATTTAAAACAAAACTTTAATTCCGTATTTCTTTTATGCAATTTGAATTACTCCTCTTCGGCAGATGGTTGGGATTTTCGTGACGCTTTTGCAAATGTATTTTCGATCAGTTCTGCCCGTAGCATGCAAAGTATTTTAATTTCATTGTTAGTCAAATTGATGTCGCTCGGAATCATAAATTTCGTGGTAGCCAGCCATGCCCCTTCCGACTTCCATCTTCGCCCTGCCAATCCCGTGCCCATTTCCATCCCTATGCCCGATCTCATCCCAACACTTCTGGGTTGCCCTGTTCCGGCATCGACATCGACTTCCAAATCGACGGAGGACCGACCTGGCCACGCTTTATTATCTCCCCTCGGACGGCCTTTGTTCGCCGGCAACGCCGACTGCATTTCATTGAGCGTAATTCCGTTGCTAATGATTTTTGGCACACGTAGCGCTACTTTCGAAATTAATGCGCTATAAAACAGCAACATAAAGACCCGCCAAGACACTGAGAAATGGGCGCTGGGCGGATAGGAAATTGGCCTGCCAGCCGACGCAGAATTAAATGAAACTCTTGTTTCAATTGCTTTTTTGCAGTTGAGATACACTGAGAAAATGAATGGTAGAACTTATGTATACAGCGTAGCTAGTCGTTTTATCGAGGGGTATGTAAATGCGTATTTTTTTGTGTTTGTTTTATAAGTTGAATTAAATTATCAAAGCATAAGCAAGACCTAAAGCCATACCCAATAAACAAATACTATAACATGTAATCTTAACTTTTCAAAATTATTTAGTAAATAATTTAAATCAATTATATTTTTAAAAATATTAAGCAATCGAGCGCATACTGAAAATGCTACAAAAGAAAGAACAAAAAATGAGCGATTGAAATACTTTAGTGATGCAGGTTAAGCAATACTTACTTCTCTGTATATTTTTTACTGGGAACTGTTTTCATTCATATTTTACCCGACAAATAAAATAAATTTTCTCTGTGCACCACAAACAGCCCCTTTGGGCAGGAAGTTGGCCACGTTTTGCCTTGCTGATAACAGAACCCACATGCGTTCGGATTTCGGTTAGGGCTTGCTCTTGGGTTCAGTTGGTTCGGGGTTCTGCGGTTTCGTTTTTTGCTCCGCATACATTTCCATATTAATTCCCCTGATTATGGCCTCGTCATCGTCGTCTGGGCTCCGTTCCCTGGCGTTTTTGTCCAGATCCAGATCCGAGTGCGAATATCCGAATGCAGACCACACTTCGGCGATGATGTTTCTGTTTCAGAATAATCTAAATCGGCATTATTTATGCATTCAGCTCTCGCATTCAGCACGACCACTTAGCGGTTCCACTTCAACGAGCCCACAGATACACAACTATGTATAGATGCTTTCGGGCATATAATATAATATGCATGGACGTTGCGTTTGCATTTTAATGGAGCTCGATTCCCTGGCCGAAAGAAGCGCACAAATAATAAATATTAATTTTGATAAACGATGATGCAGGCCAAGCGAAGTCAAATTTATGCAGCTACAGTCGCGCCTGTCAAGACTTTCATTGGGAAATCACTCATATTTTTGGCTGGTCTAATGGTACCATCCTCCTATTATTGTATCTACTTCCAAGGGCTTCTAAAAGCAGGATGACGATAACGCGAAAAACAAAAACTACGAACTTATCACTACTCATTTATCAGGCAAAGTTAATGGGCGTACACACTCGAGTATTTAATAAACAATGTTTTTGGGCTCCGAAAACACATACAAAAGATACAGAATCGACACGTCATTAGCTGTTGGCCGCGGTGCAATCACATCTCCAGGAAGTGGATGTCCACGGCGTGGTGGTCCACGTCCACGTGCGGGTGCAGCTGGAGGAACTTGACGTAGGCCAGGAAGGTGGTCCAGCACATGCTGAAGAAGGAGGTGAACACGACCTGGTTCCGCGCCGGCACGAAGGCGAAGTTCACCGTCTGCACGCAGGGCCAATAAATAACGCCCACCTTGTAGGCGTCCAGGAATTTATCGCTGACCTGGGAACGAGGCGGAGAGAGAGGGAGGGAAGGCGGGGGGGGTGAGTGCGGTGACATAAACTCCCAGCGGGCTGGGCGCACGGCGCTGGAAAATGCCAGCGCGGAAAATCGTAATTAAGTGCCGGCTGGCCAGCGGCGGCAGGAGGAGACTTTTAAAATTTTATTTATTGCTCGATTCCATCTCCCCTTTGCTGGGGCGCTAGACTGGGGCGTGGCATTTGGTTAATGCTGTTAATTAAAAGCCAACGCAGGGGTGCTTAAATTATCAGTTTAAGTGTATGTGTAAGCTATGGACAATGTAAGGAATTACCATTGCGGCAGAAGTCGAGCTGTTGCAATAAACTATTGATCGGCAACCATTGTCTGCACAATTCATTTTCCACTATCATGAAAGTCCGAATGTAAAGGCTTTGTCTTTGGATAATCTTATTTGAAAAAGAGCATATATTGAGGCAATTAAACTCTGAGAGCAACTCCTGTGCATATCAAATTGCAAAGCGAGTTGTCAATTGTTTTAATGCGTAGATAATAAATGCATCCTAACAAATAGTTTGCAACTCTTGCAGCTTTGAATTTTCAAGCAAGGTTTGTTTTAAGAATAACTCTTTATTTTCGTGAAAGCAAAGAAAATTAAATTTGTATTCAAACCTAAAGCAAATTAAAATTACCGAAAATGTTTGTTGTTTTGGAATGTGTGTGTGCTCTTAGTACGAAAAGGAAACTTTCTAAGTGAATTAGAAAAGGGCTGACTTCTGTCACAATGTTAAACCAGCCACAAAATGTGACTTATAATACAAATTGTAATTGTATAGTTTTCTTTAAAATATTCTTTTAAGATATGCGAATGCTAAGTTCCATGCTTCTCAGACCTCAAATGCTCATGCAGTCGATCGCATCAATTTACCTGCCTTGGAAGGCTCTCAGTCAAAGAACATTCGGCTGAAACCCATAGGCCAATGTCTTCATCAGACACGCACATAACTCTTTTACGGCCAAAACCAGAGCCGATCACATCGCTCAGTGAAGTCGGGCCATAGATCTCGGGAGAACGCATGCAAAGCAAATGAGACGACGCACGTTTGACACAAATATATGGTAAAACATTTACATTTATCAAGATAAATGGTTTCTAATGATATGGAAGTCAGACAGGCCAGGGGCCAGCCCGGCCAGTCGGCCCTGGAGCACAGTGCCCCAAAGTATCTCAAAGTGCGGCCGCAGAGCCCACAAATCAATGTTGACAACTCGAATCGGAGGACCAGACGCAGAAATCTGGAATGGACGGAGGTAGGCGACGGACAGGTGGTATTTATGCATGCTTACATTACGGCCTCAGTCCCAAATGCAGATTCATAGATACAGGTACAAAGACGGAGATACTGCTCGGCGACTGTCTGAATGTGTCGTGGGAAATGGATTTCCGAAATCGAATCGAATCCAACGCACCGAAGTGGATGCAAGAGGCCGATGTAATTGGAGACCCGATTTCCAATCTGGCTACAAATTTGGGTATTTTAACAGAAGCGGAATTCTTGGATTTAATTTGTTTAAATTAAATGGTCCAGTTAATATTGTAGTCCAATAGATAAATCTTATTCTATTTTTAAATCTTGGTGAAAAGAAAAATCAGACTAATTGGATTCCAACTCAAAGAAGCTCTGAAGAGAAACCCTAAAAATAATGATTTCATTGTTTTAACTCACTTAGCCCATTCAAATTTCATTGTAATGCCGGACATATCAAGGTTTCCTTATCTTTGAGAGTTATAGAAAAATTATATTGGTCCCTCAAAGGAATAAATGGTGTTCCCTAAATCCATGTTATGTATTTGCAAAGAATACAACATTTCTAAAAGAAATTATTTCTGCGTTGGCAGGACTCTACTCTTCATAGTTCCTAACACTGCCAAAAGGAAAGATGTTCTGTGAATGGGAACCCCGGAACTCATTAGAGCTCATATTCAGAGCGAATGACCTACCTCCCTCCTGGCGTCAGCGTACGAGTTGCCCTCCATCAAGGTCATGAAGAAGAGGAACGAGCTGATGGCCATGGGATCGTATGCGGTTTGCTCGGTGATCGCCTTGCAGAACGAGGACTTTATATCGGTCCTTGGCCACATAACGCCCGCCAGTCTGATCCACACGTATATGGTTGGCCCCATGAAAAAGAAGCCGAATAAACTGAACCTGGAGGGGAACAACTACTATAAGAATGGGGGCATTATCAAAAGATTCAGGACACCACCTGAGGCACTTCATCCAGTCGTACGTTCGGAATGTCTTCTTCTCGATCACGGTCTGTTCGATGAGGGATCCGCAGGGCCAGAGGGTTCCATATGATATCATGCCCCGGATCACTTTGTATTTGTTTGTGAAATTCACGAAGTTACGAAACATCTTCGACGCTCTCGTGTGATAATCTCGACGATTGTTAGTGCCAGTTCCACTTCCACTTCCACAAAAGTGCTATAAACACGCTGAAAGAGAAATTGTTTTTCGATCAGTACGATTATGGTTGGCTTCGCTTGGCTTGGCTCGATTCCCCCATGACTTAGCCACCTTGGTGCCATATTTGTCTTGGCGGATTTCACTTTTGCTAATATCTCGGTCTTACCTTATTTGACACACAAAAGGTGCTCAAAAATAATTCCCATTATAGCTTTTAGACACTAGTTACCAAATATATTCTATTCTGCTCAAATAAAACTATTGATCCATTTGAATACCCTTGTACTTTGTATTTTTAAGACATAACTAAAACGTATTTGTATTATTGTTATTTTTATGTCCATTCGTGTAAAACTGTATTTTTTTACACATTTTTAATGGTTATAAACTAATCATAAAGAACATATTTATATACTTGTCTAAATTTTCTTAATATTCACAATATTATATATTTACATATTTAGTTATTTGAATCATGGGATGGGAAGTATTAATCTTTTAGTTTTAAGTTTCGGAATTCGTTATTTTTGCACCCCTTTAGAAAAATTCTGCCGATGGAAGTGACCCGTTGTGCTTGCCCTCCGCAAGGGTTAACCCATTGTTGCCGGCTCTAGGGAGCCAGTTAAATGGATTTTCCTCTTGGAGTGTCAGAAGTAAAGCGCTGGCCAATTGCAAATAAGTGTCAACCATGGAGACACTTGCACAGCTGACACATTTGGGCTCCCGTCCGGCTGATGGATGGTTGGACGGCTAAAAGGTGGGTAGGAAATGGGTAGAAGGCGGGGGGCCCGCAATCCAGTAACACATGTCGAGTATTATTATCGGGGAGCGAACTACAAACGAAATACAAACATAATTTTAATTGCCAAGAATGTCTCTAGCCAAACAAATGTCGAAATAATGTCGGGCCACGGCCAAAGATTTATCATATTCACTCGACTGTCATAAAAAGCAATTAGGCCCGGGCGAAAGATACAAGCCCGGCAGTCCCGAAATGTAATAAAAAAACAACAAAATCCGGCAAAGGGGCGCAAGAGAAAGAAGAAAGAAACGATGTGTGATTTGAAGTGGTTTCTGGTTTTCAGTTTCGCTTAATGAGTGTGCGGCACAAAAAGTCGCTCCGAGGGAAGCGATTAAAGATCCACGTCGAATGCGGCACGTCGGGGTTGCTATTGTAGCTGCTGGTTCTGGTGCTGCACCCAAAAAACATTCGGACGAAGTATTCAAAGAGACTCATAGATACCCGCTATTCAACGCCCTATAATTTAATTATTTGCAGACATCAAATCATAGAAGGCAGTCGAGGATTTGAAAAGAAATTCATATGAAATGTGTATTTTCCCTAGTATAGCATACATCTACGATCTATATTTTGAATAGAATATTGGTTCTTAATATTTTTTATATAAACAAGAGAACTAAGAACTAACATCTTTATTTACAGGATGATCTTAACTAGTTAGTTGGTTTGTGTGATTTTTCAACTAGAAGATTTATAATGATTTTTCCATCAGTTCTTATGGTTGTGAGAAAACTATAGATCAACTACTTCAATCCAATTTAATCACTTATTTTATGTATTCCTTTATCCACATTTTCTTTGTTTTGGCTTCCCCTATTAAGAACTAATTTTTTTGAGTGTGGCGTTGGCGTTGTAATTAGTATGCCCGCACACACGCCAACAAGCCCATCGAAATAGAAGCGGAAGCGGGTGTCCCGCGAACAGTTGGCCTTTGGGACGGGCAGGTCCGCTGTGAAGGGCACTCGTCAGCAAAAACACAGAAGGAGCGATACGATCCACGTTCCGTTCTGAAAACGAGCGACCTGCCGATTGAGGCGGTGTGAAAAGTCCACCTCGTGGCAACTGGCCCTTGTTGATGCCGTCTGTTGCATATTTTCACAAGTAATTAACATGTACACGACGTTGTCCTTGTTCGGAGCCAGGGATCCGAGAATGTGGCATGGTGTGTGTGGCAGCAACTGTCCAAACAGGCCGCCCGCTGTTGTTCATCAGCTGAGGCACGGCAAAACGCTGCCTCCACATTAATTTGCATTATTTTCACATTTAAATTTTAAATGAGTGCAGCCTGCTGAAGTTGCACTTTGCCGCCGAGGAGAACAGGTGGACCCGCCTCGAAAAAGGCGTCCAATCGAGGAGGAAGTTGGTTACGTGACTTTCCACATTTCTGTTCTAATGGTTTTCAATGGCAACCAACGGCTTTCGACCTAATTGAACCCAATCTGTGCTTAGCGTTAATTTCATCAGCATTAAAATAAAGACCAAATTGGTTTAGCTATAATTTAGGAGAATAATTTAGTTGTATATCGTAAGGTTTCATTTATTTTTAAAAACTTAACACTTTTTGAGTAAAGTAGATCCTAAAGCAAACAAACTTTAATCTTTTAAACTCTAGAAAATCAGTTAAGTTTAATAACAAGGTTTCTGCGGAACTTAAACCACCAAGAGATGCTAGAAAAATCTGTCCTTTCCAACGGTTCGTAGTTCACGGGCGGAAAACTAATTTGCTGGCCATGGTGCTGCCCCCATTTAGCCCATTTAGCTCGCAGTTGATGATAAATTTTGCAATGCGGCCCCGGGCGAATGTGCAATAAAATGCTCCCCATGCCGCACACAGCAACAAACGTTGCAACATAAATTAAAGCGCAAAATGTTTATTTGCGCCGCGGAGCGCAGGAGGGAAATCGGGAGAAAGGGGAACACTTGCCGGCTGTTTCCTGCGCAACATTTGCATTTTGACGCCGTTTTACGCATGATGTGCACTGCTCCGGCCACTCGGCTTATCAGCCCAGAGAAATCAAACAGCCCCCAAGTCGGAGGAGTCGGAGAAGTCGGGGAGAAGTTGGAGATGTCGGAGGTGCGCCGATTCGGAGGAGATCCACTGCCCGCAGCATCTTGCAAAATTTTGTTTTAATTTCGCACTCTCGAAAAGTGGCAGCCGCCACTCGAACGGGCTTTTGATGTTGGCCAAGTGACTTGCCACGGTGCCACAGGGAGGGGGCATGGAGCCGAGAAAGAGACGGGGAACGGAGCCAGCTGCTGGTGGATCTCAGCAAGGGAATGGCAACTGAAAATCCCCTCCCACCCCTCAAAAACTCCCCTGCAATGCCGCCGAATAAAATGAAGATGCAATTGCCAGCCAGTCGCCACCTTTAACTGCGATTTAAGGTGTTCGCTTGCAAAAGTAAATTAAATTTGTTTAATTGGAAATTCCTATTATACAAGTTAACTGTAACGGCCTAGATAGGAAAATGATTTCCCACACAAGCACTCTCTGTAGAAGATCTATATTCAAAAACCGCTTTTGAAATAAAAAGCCACTTGCAGTATGGATTGATTGGCGATAGCACGATATTTTTTTCCTCTACTAATTAAATACCCATTTCCGGCCAATCAAAAGACTTTTTTGCTTTCTCTGCTTTCCACTTTTTCGATTGATTACAATTTCAATGCCCCATTGCAACGAAAATTCTTCACACTTGGCTGTTTTTCTTTCTGGATGTTAATTTAATGGGGGCCTACATCAAAGGGCATTGCCTAAGAAAGAAACGCAGCTAATTGTATCTGTATCTGTGTCTGAAACAGGGTCTGTATCTGTATCTGTACCAATAGCTATATCGACGAAGGTGCGAGTTTTGATTGCATTCGCTCTGTCAAGCACACGGACACAAGGGCGCTTTATTTGATTTCGAGTTATGTAGTATTTTAGTGGGCTCCTCCGACTCTCCCCTTCTGGTTCTTCTGCCTTTTGTTTATTGAACTTTGGCTGACTGATAGCGGGCGGGAAAGGGGGGGCAGGGGGTTACATATGATGGTGCTATAGTTTTTCCGAGCATATTGAAACATGTGTATTTTTACCGCCTCATGCGGGCTGTTTGTTCTCAGCGCCCTGCACCATGATTTGATTTATTTGTACACAACTTTATGATATTTACATGTCTGCAGCTGAAGGGGGCGTGGCGGGACGATGAGGGGCGTGGCAGGAGCACCACATGCACTCGATGCCATAACTGTAAATAAATACTGGGTTCAGCGAGTGCGTTTGGGACCTTCCCCTTTTCCCGCTGATTGCGGGGGGTTAGTTATTAGATTTTCGTCTGCAGGAGGCATTGATTGCCAGGTCGGAAATGTCGGAAAATTTTAATGCTTACCTTCACTTGCATATCGGTGGCAATGAAGCTTACAATATTTGCAAACCTATCCTTTGCTCAGCTAGCGTTTTAAATTCAGTTTTATTCTGGAGTGAGCATCTGTGAGTATTTATTTTACTGGTTTTAACAGTGTTTTTTTTCTCTGTTGAAACTTTTCAGATGAGGCACATAATTTTTTTAGGATACATTATATTAGATAGTTGGGATGCTAATTTTTTTGCTCTCGAAGTTTGCTTGTATAGGTTTTTTGAGCTTTGGATAGCATTTATCTTTAAAAGGAAAATATATCTCTCTGACTGTAAGGAGTTTAACTGAATCTGAAGGATAAAACCAATACCTTTACTGTCTGTTCTGTGAATCTACTGTACTACTGACCCATTAAAGTCAGGTATCAAAGTATCTGTATTTAATAATTACTCCAAGATACTTTCTACATTGAGCTTCGGACCCTTTAAAGGCAGAGGAACCTAACAGCTCTTCAATACCAGGACAGCAAGATTCGAGTTCTGCAACCACGCGACTTTAATCGCAAAGTAATTCAAGCCAGTGTGCGGCGGTAGTCCATCCTGTGGCTCGTTATTACTCTGCTCAAGCTTCTGGGCCAGACAACTTCCTCCATTCGCGCTTACAAGCGATTCGTAAACTGCAGTAATTACCCTCCATTTGGGATGGGCGGCTAATGGCGCCGATCCCGACTCAGATCCCTATCCCGATCCCGACTGCGAGCCCAATCAAGTGCAATCATCGGGGAGCCCTCCTCCTCCAGACGGCACTATCTATCGCTGCTCATCGGCAGTTCTTCGGGGGCTGAGCTCCGGCCATTATCAATTCATGGCCCGTCATAATTAATAAGGCTCGG